TGAGAAAATGACCTTGCTTCAATTACGCCCCAATTTTCGTATGCTTAACTAGAATAATAATTTCCGTATGCTTAACTAGAATAATTCTACTTTTACTTTTAAGCAAAGTTCTAAAAGACACTAGGCGGTTGTTATGCGGTGGACTGGGGCGCGAAAATTAGGACAGCTGAGGTAGGGTCGAAATAATATTAATAAATTTATTTATATTTTCCTTCTTGCATAATTTATAAAATATATTAACTAATACACTTGAATACAAAGATTATACAATAAATTTTGAAATATTTATTTATACCTTTATTATATAATTAATATGAATTTTGTGGGTACAAACTAAAATTTGGTTTTATTTTATAAAAAATAAATTAAAAATTTTGAAAAAAATATATGTGAGTGCTTAGACGCCATTAAGACCGCCTAGTCATCTACCTCGTCCGTCTAGTCGTGAGTACCTTCACAACAACTTAGCTCGTCTAAACGCCGCATTACCGTTGGAGCACCTAGAACGACCTCCTAGGCAATAGTCGTGACGCCTAGGCGGGCGCCTAGGCCGACTTTTCATACAGTGCTTTTAGGCACATCTTGGCCGTCGGGAATAGTGTACAACTTAAATACTAATCAATATCGTACTAATATTTATATGCTTAATAAATTTTTGCAGATATTAAGTATAAACATCGAATGAATATGGAAAAAAAAATTCTAAAACTTATATCTCCACATAAATGAAGCATACAAATGATTGAACATTATTATGATGTTAAAAAATATAAGTAAATATAAAATTTGAAATTAAGAAAAACTTATTAATTTCATAAGTTATAATATGTTAGGTTGATAAATATTAATTTATATTTTTAAAGAACGAATATTATTAACTAGAAAATAGAGTAAGCAAGATAAATAAAACATAATTTTTATATTATTATTATAATATCTAATATGATATCTAAAATATATCTATATACAAGACTACAATTCATACATGCTCATATTTATCCAATTGAAATTTTAAAAATTAAATCAAACTCATTAACCAGTAAATAATCGCAATACATTTCTCGTCTCCTTCCTCTGCGAAAAATAAAAACCCTTTCGACACCTTCAATCTCTCCGCGTTGCTTCGCCTTCCTCAGTGACGGCGCGGCCACGACCAGTGGTCGTCGTGGACTGCTCGGCCTAACCCCTGACGTCGCCTACCTCTAATTTTGCCAAGGTGCTTTTGCTCGAGATTGATTGTTCCTGCCCTAAGTCGTCGGTCTTTTCACGATTGACGGTGGTAAGCTTCTTAGTCGGTGATTGGTCAGCGATTGGTGGTGTTGATTGCTGTCGGGTCTCGATTGGAGGTGATTTTCCCCGTAATTGGAATCTGTCTGCTATTGAAGGGCTCCCCTCGGGCGGCTTCGCTTTTCTGATGGGGCTTTTCGTCTTGCGTGCTGGAGGACTGCGGTGGAGGTGGATGGTATGGGGGTTAGTGAGCGGGGCAGGGCTCTGGTCGCTGCAATGGTTCCTGTTACAACGGTCGGGGGGAGGGTCGTTTTTTCTTGCTCAATCCTCCGTTTGTCTAGTGGTGTTAGGCGGCGGGGGAGGTTTCTATCGACCTCGTCTAATGGTGTTAGAAGAGTTTGGAGGGAATTGGAGTGGGTTGGACTATGGCTCTCTCGGTTTTTGATGGGTCAATTCGGGGGCTGGTTCGGGTTAGGGTTCTGCTACTTATAGGCTTGATTGCAGTTTTGGTAGTAAATTCTTCGCCTGGATTGGTCTTGTGTCGATCGTTCACTGTTGGTTTGAGCTAGCTTGTTTGCTGGGGAAGGCTGTTAGTTTTTGTTGGTTTTTTGGTGTTTTTTTTTCTTGTGTTTTGTTTATGTGTTCGTATCTGTGTTGCAAGTGTCTTGTCTTTTTGGTTTGGGTCGTTGGCCCCTGTGAGCCCGAGTGTCAAACTTATTACCTCGTTGGGGTCCGACACTCGGGTATTACCCTGTTGGGGTCCTTGTAGTTGTTTTAGTTGTTTGTGTTGTTGGTTAGTGAGTGTTTTTATTCTAGCGTTGCTAGCAGGGATTCTAGGCGGTCTTCTGACCTCTCCTCCCACTTTTTCAGTTGTTGGTTGTTGTGTATTCAGCCGTTGGCTGCTGTGTATTCGCACATTTGTGCATTTTGATTTATAATATTATCTATCGTTTTGGAAAAAAAAAACCAGTAAATAATATTTATGTTGGACATATATAATTTTAAAAGTTAATGAAAACTATAATCATTTTTTACAATTTAAAGATGAAAATGCATATAAATTTAAATAATCATCATTCTATTAGTTATTCATTATTTATTGTATATTTAGTTTTATGATTCCCAATAGAAAAATAAATATTTTAATATATTCACTCTCTATTATCCCCTTATATATATATATATATATATAGAGAGAGAGAGAGAGAGAGAAGGGATCGTATGAGAATGATAGATAGTGAAAGAAATATGAATGAATATGTACCATTAGATCAATGATCTCAATGAACATGATGAAGTCAAACATTAATAACTCTAGTCAAAACACAATGGCATAGTTGTAAATATATGTGTATTTCATGGTCAAATGGACCCCTCAAAGGGCACTTGTAATTTCAATTTGACCATAATTAAGTGGGCCCACCACTAATTAACCCTTCCCCTCCCCTCTTTCACACACAAATACATGCACACAATCTGTTTCTTTTTCACACAACACACACACACACACACACACACACACACACACACACAGAGACGGCGGCACCACAGCACACAACCACCACCCGTCGCCTCCGAACGCCGCTTCCGACCATACCCTGCGCCACCACGCCATCGCCCTCACCAGATCTTCACAGCGCCACCATCATCTACAACTTCGATCTCAACAACCACGTCCGGATGGCGAGCTCGCCGGCGACCATGACGACAGCGGCCGCACTCCGCTGCAACAGGCATTGATTGGTGGTCGTTGTCGTCGTCAGTAGCATCTCTTTTTCCGGCGGCGGGTGATTATGTGGTGGCTGACGGAAGGCGACGGCGGCGGTGGCCAATAGACGGTGACCGACAAAGGTCCACCGGCGGCCGCAGGATGAGGTGCTCGGATGGATGGAGATGAACGGGCTTAGTATTCATCAGATTTTTCAAATTTGTGTACAAGGGCTTTTTTTGTGATTTTGATAAGATATAGAGGTCTAGATGCAATTTTAGCATTTTTTATATATTGCACTTTAGTTCATGGGTGAAATTGTAATTACAAAATAATTATTAATATTTTAATATTTCTATTTACTATTTAATATTTTTATATTTTTTATGGTTGAAATTTGATAATATTTTACATAGAAAATAAAAAAAAAAAAAAAAATTCCGATATGAAATTGGCATAACCAAATTTTTAAATGTAAAAATTCAATAATTGAATTGAAAATTAAAATTCTCGAACTAAATATTTTAGTTTGGTCGAGGTCGTTCGATCCAGTGCAATTTAATAGTCACTAAAGTGCAATCTAATAGTCATTAATGTGCAACTTGTATAACCATAAAATACAATCGTCTTACATACAAATACTTAAAAATAATAATAATATTTTTTTCATATAGGCCGGTTATTATAAAAAATAAAGACGACACCGAAATAAACTATCCGTAATTTTTAAAATAAATACAATTAGTCAAACTGAAATATAGAATTTCAAAAAAAAATAAAAATTGAATTCTTCCAGTTTCGGTCGTTGTTGTGCAATTTGATATCCATTAATGTGCAACTCTTTTAACACTATCGTGCATTCCCAATGCACTTATTTTTTACGATTCGCACCGAATAAACTAAAACTGTACCGACATAATCGATTTATTCTATTTAATCATATATATACTTCGGTCGGTTGATTATTAAAAAGGAGCCAAAATCGATTCGATATAACCAATTTTTTTTAAAGTAAAGAATGAACACTGAACCAACATATATAAACCGTATAGAGAAATATATTTCGTTTTATTTCGGTCGGTACATACGCAAAAGTGCAATATCACATACGAAAAAGTGCAACATTATAGTATTAATGTGCACGTTCTTTTGGCCGCTATTGTGCAGTGTGAAATGAATGAACTTTCATTCCAACTAAATTGCAACCGAACACTAACGTGCGTTTAGTTTTTAAAAAAATATAATAATGTGTGTTTTAATTAAAATTATTGTATATTTTAATAAATTATTTGTGTACTAAAAATATATTTAGTATTTACGATTTTTGTATTTAATATTTTATAGTATCAATTTGATTAACATTACCGTACATTTAGTATGCTAAAGTGCAATATTATTGACACAAAAGTACAACCCGTTACTCAATAATGTGCAATATGTACAATAATATTTTAATATTTTTATCTTATTTTATTTATTATTTTATGTATTTAAAAGATATATAAAAATAGTATACTTTTATATACTTTTAAAAATTGCAGATTTGACCTATGGGTTAAATTGAAATATACATAATATTATTAAATTTACAACTAAGCCGCTAAACAAAATCTAATTCTCAAAGCAAATCCATCCAAACTCCATCTCTCCCGTCGCCTGTCATACCACCATCACTCCCGTCGGTGATGGCGCGAGCTTCCGACGGAGGCAGACCATTCGGCGACGGTGCCGTTCGAAACTTTCCGTTCAGGTTGCCGGTTGAACGTGTTAGCGACTGCAGTGAAGCCGGCGAATTTGTGGAAATCAACCATCAACCACCGTGCTTCTACAACATCCGATCGGACTGCAAGGAGAGGTCGTCGTATGACGGGGGCGCCGGTGTATAAGGGGATGGAAATGCAGCGATCAAATCGGGCCCAACCATTCAGATCTGGTACACCATGATTGACGTTGAAGAAGGTTTTCAGTGTTGAAAATCGGCGACCTGTGGTAGACCTAACCATTCAGTGGGGCAATTGTTGTCGTTCATTGCTCTTTGTGCCCGATTTGACTGCGAGAGGGTTTTATGGTGAGGGGTCGTGATGCTGAGAGGTTGCGGGCGACGGCGGGAGTTGTGGTTGGCCATGGGGAAGAGGGTGAAGATGGGACGGAGAGGAGGATGACGGCTAGAGGTGGCAGAGGTCGACCGACGGAGGAGGGAGGAGGTCTGTGTGTGCGCACCTGTGTGAGTGTGTGCGTGCGTCTCTCTCTCTCTCTCTGTGTGAGAGAGAAATAGAGAGAGATAGTGAGGCGTGAAACAGCTGGAGAAGATGATGTTTGGGGTGGGGCCCTCTCACATGGGTGGTGATAAAATATTCAAATTGTCCTTAATGAGTACAAACTTTTGACTTTTTTTTCTGTCGTTGGATTATCCGATCGGATGGCTAAGATGTATTCTTATTTATTTCACTAGGTACCATTCTCACTTGAACCCAACCTCACACACACACACACATATATATATATATAGGGTCACGCTCTGGTGAGAATGGTACTCAATGAAAGAAATGAGAATAAATCTTAGTCACATAATCTGATCATCCAACGGTTCAAAAAAAGCAAAAATTTTAAACACATTAAGGGTATAGTGGTCTTTCTTCAACCACCAACATCATGGGACCCACCCACACGTACACATTAAACACACCAGCTGTAATCTCTCTTTCCAAAAGGTCTGTAACGTCTCTGAGTCCCTCTCTCCCCTCAGACACACTCTCTCTCTCACACACACAAACACACACAAAAATTGGAACTCAGTCAACTCACGGCCGACGACGCCATTCCCGTCGCCGACCTCCACCAGCATTACTTCCTCCGCCGTACACGCGGTTCTCATCCCCGCCAGCCAATCCACGGCGGATCTTCCCCCAGCGCCGCCGACCAGGAGTCCCCACACACCCACAGTCCCACCGGTTTCAGCCCAACTACCCGCCGGCGGCCGACCAATAGCCACAACAACCACCGTTCAGTCCTCACCGCCGGCGAGCGTTGCCATCTTCCTCCCTGACCAGCTCGACGTCATCTTCTCCATTGTCCAGGCAGCAGTGCCGGCACTATTCTCACTGCCACTTCGTTCTCGTCGAGGACTGCACCATATGCACGGCGAAGCTCCGCCTTGGACCAAAGCTGAAATCGACGGGGAAAAATGAAGCTTTGAGATCCGCCATTAATGGTGTAAAAAAAAAACAAAGCTTATGATAACCGGCGGCCTAAGACCCCACCGACGGCGGTGGAAAGGATGGAAGCCTTGGAAGAGGTGTCTCCGTCGAGAAACGGCATGACCCGCCGGAAAATAGCTTTGTAGACTTTTATTTTTCTTTTGAGAATTTGATATACCATAGGGACTCAATTGCAAAATATTGAACGTTGAATATATTTTCAATTTAGTACTGGGGTCTAATCTATAACGTTTAGAAAATTTCAATGAATGTTGAACAAACAATTTAGTTATATACCTACAAAGGCCCATAACGATTCACAATATTCTTATACGGGCTGCACTTTAGTGAATATCGGACTGCATATTTTTGTTCGGCATAATGCAGATTAGTGTGTTTGAGAACGCACATTAACACAACAGTGCATTTTCACGTATATTAATATAATTTGGTTATTTTTGTCTGATTTCAACTTCATTTACTAAAAACAAAAACAAAGAAAATACGAAATAACGTGAACTGACCGAACTATATATAATAGTATTTTTATATTTTGTCTATATATATTGTTTATTTTCACCAAACAATAATAAATAAATTTATAATTGCAAAATGGGGTTAACTAGAATACTCATTATCACAATAATATTACACAAAATGCATATTATTATATGTGGTAGTGCACAATAATTATTCGATTTTTTATATATTGTGTCCTTTAAACCAAAATATAATATAAAATTATTAAATAAAAATATTTAAATAATGAATAAATTTTTTATAATATATATAATAAATCATCTATTATTTGTATTAATTCGGTCAATCAATCGAAAAAACTGATTATTTCAGATCGGGAATAGTTTGTTATAAATCAAATCACTAATTATGTCTGTAAGTGCACAATAAAGATAGACGAATTGCACATTAATGAATATAAGATTGCACATTAAAGATCAAAACTTTCCTACCTCAAATTTCGAATATGAATTTTATATAACGGTTCGATTATCTATTTTTACTTTTAAATCACTGTTATTTCAGTTCGATGACATTCTTATTTTTAAAAATAACCAAAATGATTGATTCGATCGAAGAATATTAAAAATCGTATTATTATTATTATTATTATATTTTTTATGCATAGCTGGTGCACATTAGTGTTGTACGAATTGCACATTTGTTACTACTAGATTGCACAATATATAACGAAACCGATTCAGTTCAAAAATTTACATTTCGGATCAATTGTCTTCTTTACTTTTATAAAAACTCGGTTGTTTTTTTGTTTGATGTCATTTCTTTTTTAAATTAAATAACCAAATTAATCATAGTCCAAAATGTATAAAAATATTATTATCATTTTTTTATATTTTTTATGCAATAGATGATTTGAGAACTGGGATCCCAACTCTATATATATATGCATTTGAGAAAGCTAATGTTTGTACTTATTGGATTTTGATATAGCCATATTATGATATACCGGCCTAAGAATCCCTTACTCGACCAGACGACGGCTCACATTGCCCACACGTCGACACATTCCAGTCGACATACCTAAGTCGACTTTCGAAATGTCGATTCTTTACGTAATAACCGCGAGGAAAGACGGAATCCATACAAGGCGACTCCTAGAAGTCGACTTCACACAGTCGACTCGCGAAAGCTGACTTCTACTTGAGAAGACCAACAAGAGCGTAGCCTTCGAATATTCAGATAATCCTAAGTCGACCTCCCGGTACTCGAGGTTGACTCCTCACACCTCGAGACGCGAAGCATACGGATGATGCAATACACTTGTGATATCTCCTGAAGTCGCTTATCCTCCAATGGATAAGAAGGAATCTTGTGATGAATCAGCAGTGAGGGAAGGCGAATCGACCAGGGCAATTTAGACCTTTCAGGTAAACCGACCGGGGTATTTTGGGAACTTCAAGTAAGTGTTTCTTCCTATATAAAGGAGGTGAGGTAACCGTAAACCCTATCTTCCATTCATTCACACTTTCCTCTACAGCTGTTGTTGCTCTCTGAGAGCAGCTTCTCTTCATCTCTTTCACAAACTGACTTGAGCGTCAGAGGCTCTACGCCGGAAACACTTCTGGCGTTGAGTTCTTTCAGGTGTTGTTGTGGTTTAGCAACGGTTCGAAGGCGATTCAAGCAGATCTGAGCTTATTACCACTGGTTCACTCCAGATCTGAGAGTAGACCCATCATTTTGGCGCCGTCTGTGGGGAGTTCTTGAAGGAATTAAAAGCTTTGCACCTATCTCCGATATGTTTCTGATGGCTGAGAAGGAAGGTTTGCAGAGGAACTTGAATGAGGAGTTTAGGGGAGCTTGGACAGACATGAGACCACCACCAGTGTTTACCCCTAGACCCTAGTGATGCAGATGCTGGGACTACCACCATTTGGAGAACTTCCGCCGCCGGGGATGTGTCTGGGTGGAGAAACACCCATTACTCCACCTGGAGTGAAGATGCAAGTGTTGACCCAAGAAGGAGCAAGTCAAACATTGAATCCCAATTCAGGAGTGGGAGAAAAGGGGCCAACGGAGATGTTGCCAGGCGCAGTGCATGCTGATCTGGGCGCGACGGGCGCCGCTGCTATGCGCATGGGCACAGACTGAGCGCTATGAGCACGGGCTGTGCCTCGCGCCTACAGAGCGCGGGCACTGGCGAGGCTTGGGCTCTGAAGGCACAGACATGCACGGGGTCGGGCACTACGCGCGCGGTATGCACGGTCAGTGACCATGGCCGGCCCTTGCCGCCATCCGGCTACTTTTCTAGAGACATGCTAGGGCTCGACATTCACTTGGGCTGAGTATTCACCTCAAACGGAGGGTGAACTTGATTATCTCAACTCAAGAAAAATTCTAAGGCATGAGGAGAACTTTAGCCACACTTGGGCACGACCTTAGGCTGGGCTCGCAGACTTGGGCGCAAGTGGCTTGAACCCAGACACGAACTAGGTGTAGGACTAACTTAGGCCGAGGACTACTAGGTTCTAGAGCTCACTATAGATGATCACTTACTTAGAAAAATTTTAAGTAAGGCTACAAGCATGGCTAGGCTTGATCAAGACTCGACACTACTAGGGCTCGATACTTGTCTAGGCGCGAACTAGGCGCGAGACTCGTGACCGAACATACTCAGTTCCGGAATTGGCTTGACATGGACAATCTATCGAAATACACTCGATTTCGATTATTCGTCAACTTGGAATAATTAATCCTGACTTCTGAAATCCAGTCTAAAATAGACGGACTGGAATTAATTCCTAAACTGACTCGGTTACTGAATAGAATTTAACTGAGACTTCTCTCGACGTAAAGTCGGACTTTGAACAGAATAATCTTGCATACTAGAGATTAAATGAGCACTTAAGCATATCAATTCCCATAAATCAAATGACTCGGGAATCTGAAAATACCGATTTCACTCTATAGTCGAGCAAGTGAAATCGTTCTAATATTATAACTAAGCGGAGCGTTACAACCTATCCTCCTTAAAATATTTTCGTCCTCGAAAATACAGAACTAGGATACTAAGTCAGAACTCATACTTCAACTATATACAAACGTATAGAATACATGTACGTAAGTACAACTGAACATCTCAAAACTAGAAATCTGCATATCTGGCAGACATAACTGATCTTGAATCCGGCAAGCTACAACGTCCGATCTTGACCGGGAATCTCGTGCAAACTCTAGGTGGCCTTGGCCGCCAGGAACCTGGGAAAAGTATTTGCCACGCAACTCAGGTGATAATTAGCTACAGGGACCTACTTGGGGGTCATCGCCCAAGTCAGAACTAGGATACTAAGTCAGAACTCATACTTCAACTATATACAAACGTATAGAATACATGTACGTAAGTACAACTGAACATCTCAAAACTGGAAATCTGCATATCTGGCAGACATAACTGATCTTGAATCCGGCAAGCTACAACGTCCGATCTTGACCGGGAATCTCGTGCAAACTCTAGGTGGCCTTGGCCGCCAGGAACCTGGGAAAGGTATTTGCCACGCAACTCAGGTGATAATTAGCTACAGGGACCTACTTGGGGGTCATCGCCCTTGGGCAAAACTTGTAAATGATAACTCGGGAACTTCAAAAGGAACTCATCTATTTCTTGTAGAATCGCCCTGGCTATGGCGATACTTCTGGGTTTAGAGGGACACGAACGTGTCCCCCTCGTCTGGCTTATCGGCTTGCCCGATTAGACGACTACTTCTTTCTTGTCATGCCGTACTTTTCGTCAAGCTGATCGGACTTGTCCGATTAGATGAATACGTTTTTCTTTGTCAGGCTGATCGGGCTTGTCCGATTAGACAAGGGCTATTTAGACTACGACACTTGGTAAAAACTTGGTACACGCTTATATGAGCCAGGGTGGGAAAGCCTTCCGCTCAAGCTGGGCCATAATGACTATACCAAAACGGGAGGTACTCAACCGTTCAGGTCCTAAAACTTTTCTTACATGCATATCTCTGAAATAACTGATCTGAATCTCTAACTCCAATCTCGTCCTCTCTCTCTCAAGTGGCTTCCGACTCGTCGTGGTGACTCCAGTAAACTTTGACGAGTTCTATATCTCTGTTTCTTAGTCGTCGAACCTTTCGGTCCAGGACTGCTACTAGCTGCTCATCATATGTCAGGTTTTGCCCGACATTCTTACTCGCCAAAGTTCACTGTATGACTCGGGTCGTACACGTACTTTCTCAACATCAAAACGTAGATGATGTGTTGTGCACCCGAGAGTTCTGGGGGCAACGCCAGACGGTAGGCTGTTGTGCCAACTTGCTCGAGAGTGTTAAACGACCCTTTAAAATGGGGCTATAATTCCCCTTTATCCCCGAAACGTTCAACGCCCTTCATCGGCATGACCTTCAGGAACACTTTATCTCTTTCTGATAATGATTGGTTACGACACGACTTATCGGGACTCGACACATAATGAAGCGGCACAGTGCACGTGGCACCAT